ACACCTACAGAAGAATTAAAAAATACATTCAAAGATAGCTAAAGGTCGGTACGTTTGTAGGCCTCACACCCCCCTTTTCAAATAGCACAAATTTTCTCCATGAGTATGGGCTTGATTTCAACTACATACATATCTCCATACGAAGTTCCAGTACTGTACCATGCACACTTTCAGAGATATGTAGCATGAGAAATTCGGTTTGTATGGGAAGTGCCACGCCCCCTTTGCATATAGATTTTTTTTAGCCTAAGACCATCCTTGGGATACGTGCGGCAGGTGACAGTTTCAAAAAAAATCGGTTCAGCCGCTCTCGAGCCTTGCGAAAACTAAAAAAACGGCTTTCAAAATATATATTAGTTGAGATATATTATATATTAAATTATGTTTTGACAGTATCCGTTGTTTCTGATTGGCGCAAAAAATCTTCGCCCCTTGATATGGTCGTTGCTCAAAGCTATTTATATTCGAAATTGCATGAAAATTGGAAAAAAGGAATCTATAAGCTTATCCAGGCAAAAAGCTACCTACGTACCGAATTTTAAGCAAATCGGACCGTAAATACGATTTTTTCGAATAGATCGGTCCCTGGACCACTTCCCGGAAAAAATTGATCATATATGCTAATATGTATATGCTAAACAGCTACTTACGTACCAAATTTTAAGCAAATCGGACCATAATTAGATTTTTCGAATAGACCGGTCCCTGGTCCACCTACCCGAAAAAAGTAATTTTTTTAACCTAAAACATGGTGGTTACCGAAAGCTATTTATATACAAAATTTCATGAAAATCGGACCATAGTAATAGTATAGTATAGTAAATAATAATATAGTAATAGTATAGTATAGTATAGAAGTATAGATATCTCTGAAAGTATGCATGGTACAGTACTGGAACTTCGTATGGAGATATATATGTAGTTGAAATCGAGCCCATACTCATGGAGAAAATTTGTGCTATTTGAAAAGGGGGGTGTGAGGCCTACAAACGTACCGACCTTTAGCTATCTTTGAATGAATTTGTGTATTCTTCTGTAGGTGTGTTTGTGAGTGAAATCCTCCTAAATGGTTGTACGGATTTTAACGAAACTTTTTGTGTATTTGAGTGGGTCTCTGGATGGTATAGTTTCACAATTTAATCCGACAGTTGGCGCTGTAGTTGAGTTATTACTAAAAATCTTATTTATGATCCGATTTGGCTAATGTTTTAAATATGTATGCAATACTATTGCAAAAACGTGTTGCCAAGTGGTGCTGAAGTAGAGATATTACTAAAAATAGCCAAGTGAGAAAAGGGGCCGTGAAGGTCAGATTAAATCGACCTGTTGCACCATTGAGTATATCGAACGCTCCTGCGTTGCAATTGGCCAAATGGATGTGATTTTCCAATATTATTATGCGTTCAAACTTTTAAGGTATTTCGTCTGAAATAAGTATATGTATACTGCATTTCTGTAGAACAATGATTCGCACCCATTTTGAAATTGCCACCAACTATATTGTAAAGCTTCTAGGACATTCACTATAGAACCGGGTCATTGTTGCCGCCAGTGAGTGAAGAGGAAAAAATTTATTTCGCTTTGCGAATAACCGTGCTATAAAATGCCGCACAACTGGAGAATTTCAAGAACTTCTTCACGGATATAACACTTTCCTTAGGTTATTTAAAGCAGCAAATGACCACCAAACCATAATCTTAGCAGACGAACGTGCCTATGAAAATTGTAAACGTGAATTGTTGGTGAAAATCTTGGACCAAAAAGTTAAAAAAAAATATATAAAAATTTTGGGCGGGACGAAGTTCGCCGGGTCTGCTAGTATTATATATTATAATTATATTTTGACAGTATCCGTTGTTTCTGATTGGCGCAAAAAAATCTTCGCCCCTTGATATGGTCGTTGCTCAAAGCTATTTATATTCGAAATTGCATGAAAATTGGAAAACAGGAATCTATAAGCTTATCCAGGCAAAAAGCTACCTACGTACCGAACTTTAAGCAAATCGGACCGTAAATACGATTTTTTCGAATATATCCGTCCCTGGTCCAATTCTCAGAAAAGATTGTTCATATATGCTAATATATGCTAAAAAGCTACCTACGTACCGAATTTTAAGCAAATCGGACCGTAAATATGATTTTTTCGAATAGATCGGTCCCTGGACCTCTTCCCGAAAAAATGGATCATATATGCTAATATATGCTAAACAGCTACTTACTTACCAAATTTTAAGCAAATCGGACCATAATTAGATTTCTTCGAATAGACCGGTCCCTGGTCCACCTATCAGAAAAAAGTAAATTTTTTTTAACCTAAAACATGGTGGTTACCGAAAGCTATTTATATACAAAATTTCATGAAAATCGGACCAGCCGTTCGCGAGATTACCTGTTACAAAAAAAGGGACTTCTCTTTATATAATTAGTATAGAATAGATAACCCAAAAGCTGGAGAAGAGTTGTTAAAAAAAAACTACGTTAAAAAATTAAATTTCCCTCTATGGCAATGTTCTTATTAACATCCGTGGATATGTGCACCTTAATATCGGTATATGTTTATGTACATATGAGTTCGAACCGTACCATTCAATGACACGACTGTTAAGTAGGCGTGGGTAACAGTGCGCTGCACGGCGCAATCGCGTTAACACCGGAGCCGGAGCTGCCGCGCTAACAACAATATATGAAAAGCGCTAGCGCCATTAACACCAAGAAACACATAAGACACACATAAAATTCGCCTTAATTCTTTGAAAAAATATACGCAATTTTTCTTTGCTTTTGAGTTGTGAGAACTTATGTATCTTGACAAATTTAAAGCTTTTGCTCAAGAATGATGAGAATATCGTGGCATTTACTACATTCTTAGCAGCTAAATTCGATTGGCGGTACGCGTTGCTCAGCGCCGAAAATTAAAGAAATAATAGGTATGACACCACGATGGGTGCTGTGGTGACACTTAGATGACGCCGTGTTGAAATCAGTACCTACTCTGCGCTATTGCGCTGAGTTAGTGTGCTGACGCCACAGGTGGCGCCGGCGTTATTGAGCTAGCGCCATAAAAATTGCGCTATTACCCATGGGTACTGTTAAGTGCTTAGGTCTACTGAATTGGGTTTTATGTGATTATGTAGGTCGATAGGCTATTTAAGAACCGAGTAATGCTGTTAATCTTCTCGTTAGAACATCGCAAATTTGATTTACATACATTTTAACATTAGTGTTAGATTCCTGCTTTTTTGCTTTTTGGTTTCCGCTGCTAATGTTCGATATTTTAACAAAAGATTAACATCACGTGCTCTCTTCTGTGCTAATTTATGCGTATCGTTTAAAATAAAAAGAGAATGCAAGTAATAAAAATAATGTTAACGACTTACATTTAGCAGTACAGATCCACGCCCTGCAGGAAATGTATCTAACTATAAGCCAACTTTAAGTTTATTAGGAAGGAGCTAAAAGTCACTTATTCCGGCAGGTTCTGCAATTCACTTCCGTGTGAATTTCAACCCCTGCCAATTTGAATTCAAAGCGAGTTTGATCGAAATTCACTCGAAAGTGAATTGCAGAACCTGCTTGATTATCTGTATATTTCCTTTGAGGAAAGCTATATTTGTATGGCGATGGCCGCGAAATAGTCAAGGGTGATGAGGTACATGCTCAGCTTACATCAGCTCTAGACATGGGTAACACTGCGCTGAGCGGCGCAATTGCGTTAACGCTGTTGTCGGAGTTGGTACGCCAACACCAAAATATGAAAAGCGCTAGCGCCATTAACACCACGAAACACACGAGACCAAGGCAAATTCGCAAAAAATGCCCTTCAAGACGGCGCTAAATGAATTCGCCTTGGCGCTAACCTTAACACACACAATCGCAAGTTTCCACCTCTCTCACCCACACACTTCCAATCCACATTGCTGAAATGTCAAAAAAATTGCCAAAAAACATAAACATGAGAAATAGAAATATGTACATATGTGTCAAAGTAAGCTGCCAAACAAAACGATAATTGGCAGAGTTTGGTGAAATTTTTAGGTAATTGAGGATTATTTTCTTTAATTATTTTGTGTACTTTGTGAAAATATACATACTAGATATATTTCTATAATACAGGTAAAGTACCCGCAAGGAAACGCATATTTGCAATCAAAAGCAAAAAGCAATCAGTGTGCCTAGTATTGCTGGAAGATTGGTGGCCAAATGTAGTTTCTTCAGCTTCAATGTGTACATATTTAAAGGCTTTTGGCAGGGTCACGTGATGGCGAAATTCGTGGCATCTTTATTTAATGTAACCACAAACGCTGGAGACGTACATATATATGTGCATGTTACGAAGAACATTTGCGGGTATACAAAACAAGGGGCAGTGTCTACTGTGTAAAC